AAAGCAGCGAACGCCATCCTGTGATTCAAAAGTTCACCGACCAAGAACGCATTGGAAACCATTGAAAATTTGTGTTTCCCGTTCTTGCGCAAAGGCATTTAAATATATCGTGTACTTGACGGCTTCACATTCAAATATTGGAACCCCTACGCGTCTGGGGACCGTGACGTCGCGATCTGCGTGAGGGGCGCGCCCGGTTGACAGAGCCCTGGTGATATACCCAGCGAAGCGGCAAGAGCAATCGCAGAGAGGACCACCAACAATCGCATCTGAGTTCGGCTCCCCTGGATAGGTGCGTATGAATGTATGTATACATACAGTCAATGCGCCTAGCAAGGACGCGCGCCTTCATCTAGGGTACCCTTGTGTCCTTGCCTCTGAGGCCCGTCCTTGCCATTATCACTGGTCGCCCGCCGCCCTAAAAAAAAACAACTTCGGCCTCCAAGGGCATTGCGTCCTTATCACCCGTCCTTAATACACGCTTTGATTGTATTTGTTGTTTATGCCAAGATCCCAAAACAGTGCTTGCCCCTGGGAGTTTTGACTTTCTTTCTAAAGCACTGGACTTGGCTGGGGGTCTGGCGGCGCCGTGCTCGCCGTCGCCGCCTCGTCGCCGCCCGACGTCTGGGCCTGGCTGGGGGTCTGGCGGCTCCGTTCTCGCCGTCGCCGCACCGTGGCCGCCTCGTCGCCGCCTCGTCATTTGGGGTTGGCTGGCGGTCTGGCGGCTGTGTGTTCGCCGTCGCCGCCCAGTCGCCGCACAACATAGATTCTCCTTTCTTTAAACAAGGTAGGATCTACCACCCACCCACCGAACTCTTCCACCTCCCATGGGACAGCACGATGTACATACGATTATGTCACATCGTTCAGTCTTCATATGAGTGCATATCATCCCAGCCAGACCCCCTTTATCGACACCCTCACTCGCCCATGTCGAATAAAACTATGCGCGTGCGCGCGTACCCGTTTATCAAAAATCCACAGTTTTCAAGAATTCAATACTAAAGATGGGATCAAACCGACATGCGCGTGCCGTCGCGCGCGCATGCAGGAAGTTGACAAAAACCGCAGGCGTCGCAAGGATGTCAAGATCGAGTTCCCTGGAAATATATAAAATAAGTGGTTGCGCAACATGGTTGTTCACAGAAATCTGCGCTCTCTTGCGAATTATTTCGGAAACCCTCTTGGTTGTTCCAACAGTTTCATCACATGCGACCGAGCGGGCATCTCGCGCGCGAGTGTCGGAATCATGCGGACGCATTTGCGCGATTGTTGGGGGGCGATCTTTTTCACAAAACACCATGGTGGCACGATCCCTTTTCAGATAATACAATTCGTCGGCCGCACGCGCATGGCGAACTCCTTCCAAGACTTGCTTTGCCGACACGTGAACACTATTATCGCCATCGGCGTGATCAGCCTCGGCGCTATCATTAGCCTTACCGTCGTCATCGTCATCACCGACACCAGCATCGCTACTGTCGTCATCGTGTTTGCCGTGGTCGACAGTGCCATGATATCGCGCCCGCCCGAGTCACCGACTCGCGCTGAAATGCTCACGCGTCAGTGTGGCCTGCGACTCGCGTTGGGATGTCCCCAGCGGTCAGCGCTGCCGCGGCCACGTCGGTCGCGCCAGACTAGCTGGCTGCCTTGCGCGGGAGTTTGCGGGCGTTAGCGTGGCCGCAGCGATGCGCCCGCCAGCGCCGAGCAGTCAGCGCAATCACCGCCGCATGGGTTTTGCAACCCCGGTTGCGGGCGGTCGGGTGGCATGATTGCGCAACCTGTGGAGTTGACAAGTCGCGAATGAGCATGCATTAATTGCAGCACATTTTTTGCACAACATATGTCGCACAACTTATATTACACCACATATGTTGCACCACATACATTGCACCACCGATACTGCACAACATACGTTGCACTACATGGATTGCACAACCTAGATTGGACCACATAGAGTGCACCACATAAGTTGCGCAACCTGTGTTGCACCACATGAATTGCACCACATAAAGTGAAAATCCATACATTGCTGCACCACAATGATTGCACAATACAGACCTCGCCACGTAGATTGCACAACATGCATGGCACCGCATAGATTGCGCCACACAGATTGCACAACATAAACTGCGCAACTTCTCCCCACAGATCGATCGATCGGTATTAGAATGCACCCGTATAACCCACAATCAAAATATTACCCATATACTTGTATTTGTTTAATTTTAGAACGCACCATCTACTCGATATATATATATATATATATATATATATATATATATATATTGGTTGGCGGTGCGCCGTGGCACTAACCCCCCCCAGGCACTACCGGGGGTTCGTGCACTACCAGGGGGTTTCCGTGCAACCCGCAACCGGGTGCCGCAGCGGCTTAGAAACACCCCCCCTTCTCCGCGTTTAACCGGGGGGGTTTCGTGCGTGCCGCATTGTTCTCCCTGGGCTGTGGCTCTTGTTTTTTTGCTTTGTGGCGGCTTTTCTCGCTTTCCTTTTCTCGGCTTGCTTGCACGCAGTCCGCATTTGGCATTGTACTTCTTTTTTTGCTTTTCGTCTTAGCATGTGCTTCTCTGCCTGTGCTTTTGCTTTTGGCGCTATTGCTTATTTTTGGCCATTTTTCCCACCCCCCCCCCTGTGGTCGTTGTGGGGGGGGGGGGGGGGTGGGTTGGGGGGGGGGGGGGGGGGGGGGGGGGGGGGGGGGGGGGGGGGGGGGGGGGGGTGTGGCGAGGTCAAGCTAGCCAGCTCGAGCGAGTCAAGCATGGCATGCCCATTCCCACCCGCCCTCCCACAACATAAGAAACAGTGGTGGCACAACTGGGGGCTGCGCGGGCATCTCAGTGCGAGTGG